ACATTGCTAAGTCCCTTCATCCTTCCTTTTCAAGACTACAAAATAATTGTTTTCAATATGAGATCAAGTCTTCATATTTCAAATTGTGTAAACAGGACCTCAGGATGAGACCTGCACATGCATGGGCTCCAGAGATGTTTCCCTGCACCTCCAGTCCTCTTTGCTTGGTTTGGTGCCTTGTGTAAATTACGAGGTAAGGTGGCAAATGTTGACCTCAATGTCCCAGCTGACCTCCTGCTGGGTGGCTGCATCTTGGCTTCCTTTGGCCCCTGTGTGGCAGCAGATAGAATGCAGAGTGAAGGAACTGGCCCTTTAGAGGTGGCTGCCCAGAATCTCTGGCCCCACTTTCTGCATAAACACAGCTGAGGACGGGCTGAGGGATGCCAGGAGTTTGGGGGGAAGGTTGTAGTAATGTAAAAAGAGCCTGCGTTTCTTCTGGATTCCAGTCAATGGGATTATGCATATCATTTATCTTGTGCTAACCTTTATAAGAGAGCTTCTGCCTCAAAGAGCTGTTAGGATGCATCCGTGAGATGGCTCATGTAAAGCCCTTTGTAGAGGGATAATAAATAATATTTTTACTTGCTAAACATTTGTAGAGCTTTTTCTAGATGGATGGCACTGTTCTTAGTCTTTTATAAATACTAACATTTGTTATCATAAAATCCCTAGGCAGGTTTTATTGTTGTCATTTTTTAAAAGTAGAACTGAGGCACCGAGAGGTTAAATACTTACTCAGTCACACAGCCAGCAAATGGTGGGGCTAGAATTTAAACTTAGCCTATCTGCTTCCAGAATCTGTGCTCCTAACCACTAAACTAGAAGTGACCTAAAGTCACTTAAAAATTTTTTTTTTGGAGACAGAGTCTCACTCTGTCACCCAGGCTGGAGTGCAGTGGTGCAATCTCAGCTCACTGTAACCTCTGTCTCCTGGGTTCAAGCTATTCTCCTGCCTCAGCCTCCCAAGGATCTGGGATTACAGGCACCCGCCATGACTCCCAACTAATTTTTGTACTTTTTAAAATAGAGATGAGGTTTCACCATGTTGGCCAGGCTGGTCTCAAACTCCTGACCTCAAGTGATCCACCTGCCTTGGCCTCCCAGAGTGCTGGCATCACAGGCATGAGCCACTGCGCCTGGCCTGCAGTCACTTTAATATGGATTGGTCTTCCCAATAATCCTGGGAAGACCCATTTTATAGAGTAGCAGAGGAAACCACACATTATTGAGAAGGCATATACCTGCCTGAGGCAAAGGTGGTGCTAGAGTGAGCCAGTGCAGCCATCAGGTGGCAAATCTGCTCACTTGAAACCTAAGGGGCCTCTAAATTCTCAAGCCTGACTGCTGGCCCTACTCCATTCGGCCATCGTTTGCTGATTTCACACCGCTGGCTTGGTTTCCCCATAAAACCTAAGTTTATTTCAGGCAGTATCCTCTCCATAGCCTTTTGTATTTCCCCATTTCCCAGCCCACAGCAGGTGTTCAACGAGCACTTCCTGAATGATTGTCCACACTTCCCACAACTGCTCAACATGGGGAGAGTTGCTGGTTTAAGAGGAGAGAGAGAGGACTCTGCAGCAATTCCCATAGCCCCTGCTGCCAGAACACAAGCAACTTACAAACAAATGGACAGGTGAGTTGGCACTGAATTTTAAGTGCTCTCGTGGGACAGAGACCCATCTAAAAGTTAAATGATGGGCATCTCATCTATCCCCACTCTCTCCCTTTCTCACCAAATCATTTGTTTTCTTCCCACACCACAGAAGAAGTGGTAGAGGTGGAAGCACTGAGGTCTATAGTCCATTTAAAAACATGTTTTTATCACAAAATAAAGAACCTGGAAACCTCACGAGACAAGTAACTTAGCAAATTATTAAGCAAGCACCCTTTAGGTGGAGCAAACCACCATGGCACATGTTGGCCTATGTAACAAACCCACCCATCCTACACATGGACCCCAGAGCTTAAAGATATAAAAAGTAAGCACTCTTTTAAAGAACCCCCAAATCAATCAACAGAACTTTGCCAGCCACCCTAGGTCCTCCCTCCACAGGCTCTGTCCCAACCAGTCTCCACTCTTCCCCAGAAGTCCCTGCTTTCCTTATAATCACTTCCTATGTTTTAAAAAAATAATGTATCACCCAACTGTGCATACCTAGATATTACGGTTTAGTCTTGCTCATTTAAAAAGTGATAGGTCTTTTAAGTTTCCTGTTGTCTGCAGACTACCAGAACCCAGGCCATTTGACCTGGAGTATTTCCCACAGTTGGAATGTTGCTGACTGTACATTCATGGTACAGTGCAAGTGTTTAAACACCATTTTACGCTGTGGGGTTGGCCATGGTCTAGGACCACTGGCATCTCCTTCTTGACTAATGTTTATCTGAGCAGATGTCCTACATTCTTCTGTGAACAAATGGCATTAGCAGCAGCAAAATGAGATTAAACACCAACTGACAACCCAAATGCTGGTACAAGAGTAGAAGTGAGAGGACCCAGGCTTCAGGTCTGTCCTCTGGGGAAGTTATCTCACCTAAGAAATACGGAGACACTGAGACCATCAGTATCTTTTTCACAGGGTCATGATGCTCATTAAATGTGATGCTGGATATAATGCTTTATAAGCTGTAGAATGCAAGACTTTCTAATAGGAACCTTTAAAAATGAATCGCTCCTCATGACGTTCCTTGAAAGTCTGCACTGGCTTGGGATTGCCCCAATGCATTTGCAGAAAGATTGTGGCATCAGGTAGAACAATTCTAGTCCAACTCAATTGTGTAAGAGTTACTGCAGTATTAAGATGACCTTGTGGATTTTTATGTAGCTCTCCAGCAGGGTGAAAAGTATTTCAGTGCAAGTTTCTCCACTTCTTTTAATATTTTTATTTTCATGAGTCACAAGAAAACACGGCAGGGAGGTTAAGGGAAAACCACACGTTGATTTAGCAACTGAATTTCTGAACAATTTGTGATATTTAGCCCCCCTTGCTCGTAAAGATCATCCTGGCTGGAAGTAAATTCCCTAAGGCATACAAATTGTTCCCAGGGAAGGAAAGTGAGGGTAGCTTTTTTTTTTTTTTAATTTTTTATTGGATTTTTTTTTTTTGACATTTTATTTTTTTATTTTTTTTTTTAATTTTTTATTGGATTTTAGGTTTTGGGGTACATGAGCAGAGCATACAAGACAGTTGCGTAGGAACACACATGGCAGTGTGCTTTTCTTTCCTTCTCCCCTTCACCCACATTTGGCATTTCTCCCCAGGCTATCCCTCCCCACCTCCCCCTCCTACTGGCCCTCCCCTTTTCCCCCCAATAGACCCCAGTGTTTAGTACTCCCCTTTCTGTGTCCATGTGTTCTCATTTTTCATCACCTGCCTATGAGTGAGAATATGCGGTGTTTCATTTTCTGTTCTTGGGTGGCTTTATGCCTTAAGAGGTACACCTGAAGATACTGATCAGCTACCTGCCCCAAGCCCTTCCGGCTTATGAAATGCAGACTTACTTCTTCCTCTGACCCTTCTCTGGGTTTGTTCAATACCATTAACATCAACCCGAGCTCAGCCTGAGGATAACTGTGTTGGATGTATTCATGTCTCTGTGTTTATAGTGACAGACACGCAAGGTTTTCTGCCTAGTCTTCCTATTAGGATCATAAGCTATTTAGGGTTAAATCTATATCTTATTCATAAGTATCCATCAGATGTATCCAAGTTTCTGTTAAGCTGATCACACTGTCAGTGTTGTAAAAATAAAAGGCTTGCAAACCATTTCTCTCCTCAGCCTGTTGATTTACTGAACTGGTAGCTGTGGTTTTCATTAGGGGCTGGCTGCATGTTTGTTGAATATGGGAAAGATACCATCTCATGCTTACTCTCAAGCCCTTCAGCAGCACTGGATGCCAGAGTTCGACAGTGCAGATGCACCTCTCTGATGTGCTAAGAGCCTTGAGTGGAAACAGTTAAACAAACCAAGAAGATTATGTTTTATCAGTGTAAGGGTGATTTGTGAGTCACTGACAAACTAGCAAACTGACCGACCTTAGGCATAATAAATACTGTTTATCTGGGTTCGGGACAGTTGTTCAAGAAGTCAGATTGCCAGATCCATCCCAGGGCGTTACAGCAGAATGGTGTTACTAGAAACCGGATATGCCATCAGGTATTCATACAGTTTTTTATAAACTGCATTGGTCCTCATCCTTGGTGACATGAAATACCCACAGGGATGCTTTTCTAGGTGCAGGGAGCTCAGAAAGGGCACAGGCTATAGTTTTTAAAAGTGAGAAATACAGCTGCTGTAGAAATGCCTCCTCGCTTGTGGCAGTTTATAGAGACAATATTCTCCATAAGTAATACAGAGATCTTAGATAAGACACACAGGGTCCCAGGACATGTCAGGAAATTCATTTTTCTTTTTGAGATGGAGTTTGGCTTTTGTTGCCTGGGCTGAAGTGCAGTAGAGCCGTCTCAGCTCCCTGCAGCCTCTACCTTCCAGATGCAAGTGATTCTCCTGCCTCAGCCTCCTGAGTTGCTGGGATGACAGGTGCCCGCCACCATGCCTGGCTATTTTTTGTATTTTTAGTAGAGATGGAGTTTCACGATGTTAGCCAGGCTGGTCTTGAACTCCTGACCTCAGGTGATCCGTCTGCCTCAGCCTCTCAAAGTGCTGGGATTACAGGCATGAGCCACCACACTCAGCTGGAAATTTATGAGAAGTTGCAACAGTCAGAGCTCACCCTGGCTATGGCTTTGCCACGTGTCCCTTACCTAGCATTGATTTTAGTAATCACCTCTGCAATCCTTTACCATCATTGTGTCCTGTTGCTCCTTGGATAGCTCTAAGGGTGGGCAAAGCATCCCAAGTCCGCCCAAACCTCACTGGCATCAACTGCGTGAATGCTCAATGTGGATAATTTCTCATCGTTTGTAAATATTCTTCCAGTTGGCCTTGGCCAAGCCCTTCTCCTGTCACATGTTACCGTTTCCACCCGTGGCACTTACCTTTTGCTTCAGCTGCAGCACGGTTTGCTTCATCTGGTAGAACTCCTTGCATGTGGCACAGCAAGTTTCAGCTTTCACAGCATTCTCAGACTTCTCATGGCCTGTGAAAGGAGATGCGCTCAGTTCTGTCTGGTGGGCTGGTTGCAAGCCAAACCCAGAGAGAGCATTGGGAAGGGCGGTCCCAGGGACAGAGCAGCTGACAGCAGGACATGCAAGGGCCAGCTGTGGATGATTTTACAGCTTTTGGGTCCTGCCTGCATGACCCAGGGTCAGAGAATAGTGGAGGACAGAGGGAGACGGGCCCTATGAGAAGCTGAGCTCAGCTGTTCCTGTTTAGACATGCCAAGCATACTCCATTCTTCCTCTTCCATGTGTGAAAATGCATACGTGGCCCTTTTATCAGTGCTTTTCCAGGAGGCAGGCTCTATAAATCTGACATGATTTATACTCCCCTTAAAGGGCCAATGTTCACACACTGTAAATATTCCCCAAGCGCAGGCACTGGGCCTCAAAGCTTCCTTTATCGCCTCTGCTAATCCCGTTCTTCAAAGGGAGCACGGCAGTGGGCTGGGAGCTGACCTCACTGACGTGTGAGGCCAGGATGGGAAATGCACCAGGCCCTTTGCCACCCCATCTGGGGCCAATCGGGACACAATGAGCAGGCAGTCAGGCCATCCACTGCAGAGGGTCCCAAAGCACTGCTGTGGAACATTAGGTGCTCCACGAGCTTTTTGTAAAAATTTTGCTCAAGGAAAACTTGGTTAAGAACGTGGTGATGTGGCCAAGAATACTGACAGCTGTCTTCTTTCTAGCACTGGAATGGGCTACTCCAAGCCTGCATGCCATGGTGACCAGACACCTGGGTCACCTGGCTGCTGAGGTCTGTGCGGAAGGTGTCAGTGGTGTGGGCCGAGTGCGCGAGGCTGAAGGTGTTCTGTTAGGGCGGGCAGGACAGCATGACATCCAGGGAAGCATAAACTCTCCTTGCTTAGCAGCCCTTTGGCACTGGACCAGGTTTGCGGCGTGTGTGACATAATAACCACGACTATCTAGACTATTAGGTCACGCCTACCGGGGACAGTCGGGTAATGCCTGACCATCTCTTTTGCTTCCTGGCCCGTGCACTTTGCTTAACTGCTCCTCTCTTCTGCAAAGCCTTCTGTTCCATCCCCACTTGTTGAATCCCATCAAGACCCAGATCTAATGTTCCATGAAACCTGCCCTCTCCACCCACAGAAGTCTGGAAATCAGGCAGCATTTACCATGTGTCCCTCCCACTCACAGGTTGATCTTCTAGGCTTCCCTGGAGGACAGCTCTTAGGGCGCACACCAGCATGTAAGCTACCTAAGAACCAGGCTCACTTCTTGGTATGTCACATAATGGATGCTCAAAAAATGTTTGGAAATGGATTGTTACAGGTTGAATTGCGTCCTCCTGTTTGCCAATTCCTGGGAAGTCCTGATTCTCAGTGCTTTAGAATGTGGCTTCATTAGGAAACAGGATCACTGCAGATAAAATGAGTTAAGATGAAGTTATGCTGCAGTAGGGTGGGATCCTAGGCCAATATGATTGGTGTCCTTATACAAAGGGGAAACGTGCCCACAGGAAGATGCTATGTGAAATGAAGGCAGAAGTGAGAGGCAGTGGAAGCCGAGGAACACCAAAAATTGCCTGCAGATGACCAGATGCTGTGGAAAGGCATGGAATGATTGTTCCGCACAGCCCTTAGAAGAAACCAACCCCGCTGATGCCTTGGACTTTGAACCTCAGACCAGAGACACATTTCTGATTAATCCACTTAATTTGTGGCATTTTGCTATAGGAACCCTAAGAAATGACACATGAATGGATGGAGGGAGAGATGGGCATGAGGGCAGCCCACATGCAGGCGAATTCTTCTTACACAGCCTGGCTGCCCAGTCCTCTGTCTGGTGACATGTGGTGACCAGAGCTTCTGCTCCTTGGGAAGTGAGCAGGCCCAGAGGCAATCGGGCAGCTGAGCTCTCACACTCACACTATGCATCTGCAGCAGGCAGTTTCGGAGCTCACCTGCTGCACCACCATCCCTGCACCGTGGGAGATCTGGGGCTGGCAGCACCTGAGCTAGGCACACATTTCTCATGCCAGCAGGTTGACACAAATGATGCCAGGCTGTGTAGCAGAGTTGCCAGAAGTGACAGTGTAATTACTGAATATACAAGGTTAACCTAGCTTTTCGGGCAGGTTTTGAATGCATAATTGGAGAAAAACACTTGAATCTCTGCAAAAGTGGCAGTTTTAAAAAATCCACTTCACGTGTAAGCAATGTAACAGGGCCATTTCGTTAATGCCTGCTTTCTAGGCAAATTACCATAGCTTGCCCACCTATACTCCCTTAACTGGCACACTGGACGGATGGTTTTGACTCACTGCAGCTGTGTGATAATGAGCTGAGCAGTAAGGGGGAATAGGGAGGGTCTTGTCTCAGAGATGGCGGAGTGAACTGATTATCAGCACAAACTTGAGCCCCACTGTTCTAGGTTCAGGTTCCATCTCTGTCATTGAATAGACTCAGGGATCTTGGGCGGGTTACTTGGCCTCTACAAACCCCACTTGCCCAGACCATAGCACTGGAACAATTCCTGCCACATGTGGCTGCTTTGATGACTGGGTAAGGTAATGCATGGAAAACCCCTGGCAAAGAGCTTGGTTGTAGGTAGATGGGAGGGGGTGCCTAGCAGTTTTCAGGCCTGCCAAACCCTTTACATTTCCTTTGCCTGATAACCCCAGAACACTGGAGTAACAGTATTAATATGAAAAACAAAACGAGGGAAGTGAGGGCTGGTGACTTCCTGAAGGTCATCTAGCAGGTGGGTCATCCAGCAAGTATCTGAGGCGGGTTTAGAATGAGTTGTCCTTAAATTAAACCTAATACCTTTTCCACAAATCAGATGGTTTCTGAGTTTTTAAATCCCTGTTCAATGTACCAGTGTATAATCTTAGGGAGCTTGAATATTCCTGAGAACCAGAATTACTCAGCTCAATCTCCAGCAGAGGAAGCCATGCAAATTTCCATGCAATAATATACTTAATTGTAAAGGGCTGAAGCCTTAACTTTTCTTGTGCTGACTCCAGGAAATGGTGGGCTCTTGCCCGAAAAGATGACCCAGGCTCCAGGTTTATTAGGTTAATACCTAAGGACAGTTGAGGGACATCCATCTTTCCCAACTAGTCTTTCATCCATTCCATTTCATCTTCTGGTCAATTTTTACAATACTATCAACGAATCCATCCATTTATTCATCCATCTATCCATCTATCTATCTTTCCCTTCTGTATCTGCTATTAGCCAGGTCCTGCATCAGGCATTGAGAATGCAAAAATAAGTGCAAATATCTGTTTAATAATTTTCAATTCACCTTTAAGCATCTAGCCCTGTTGGCAGAGCTGAGCCACCATGAGCAAAAGTTAGAAGCTCATCTTTCTGTCACTTCTACTTTTACATACTCATTGAAATTCTCCAAGTATCAGTGTGATAAATAATTTGACAATTTCATAAGATAAACCTCTTTACTAGATTCTAGACTATTTCATTTAGATCATGGAATATTAGAACATAAATCTTTAGTTCAATATCTTTTATAGGTAAGGAGAATAAGTCCAGAGAGAGAAAGTAACTTGCCTTGGGTCTTTCAAATTGCTGTGTATAGAGACCACAAACTCACAGGGTCCCAACTGGTTCTTTTGGAGAGGTGGGTGCATGCAGTGAGCCTACTGTTAATTCTGTTGAGAACACCTGAGAGCTCTCTGCCAGCCAGGGTCCAGGGCAGAAGCTCTGCTGAGTTACCTGTTGCATGAAAATTCCTGGGCTGTTTTCTGTTCCTTTGTGGAATTATCAGAACACAGAGAACCAAGATTAACATTATCCAGAAAACCTGAAGCCCCACAGGAATACACAGCATAGTGGTAAGGAGAGTACGTGGAGTTACATGATCAGGACCTGAATACTGATGCTACCTAGTACCTTTTATAGTGGACAAGTCAGGGCTTCTGTGAATGCCCATTCTTTGAACGGTAAAAAGGTAACAGCACCTATTAGTTGGAGCTGCTGTGAGGAGCCAGAGATAAGACAGGTTCCCAGAACAGTGCCCAGCTCAGGGTAAGCACTCTACTTATAGTATTGTTATGTTATGTATTGTTGGTATCACTATGATTCAGTTCCCTATGAAATTAGATATGCGGGGTGGGGACCTTACATCACCCTTTCAATAGAGCTCTCAGAGGGTTTAAAGATAAACAAGGACTCATACCTTTTGCATGTGTAGACCTGGAACCTAAAACCACCTGATTTGGAGGTCACATCTACCTTGCAATTTGCCTACAATAATGTCAACATGGGGCTGTGAGTAATCGCACATATGCTACATTAACAGTTTATTTAGAAATTGGGGTAGACATTGCTGCATGTTTTCCATCCTCTCAACTAATGCTGTGGTCACACTTCTGAGAAAAGGCTGGGGTGGTATCACTTAACTTTTTTTCTTCTAACTCGTTTCGATTTTAAAGGTGCAATATTATTGGTTAGCCACATGGGGGCATGAAGCTCTAATTTTTCCTGAAGTTGACCAGGACGTCTATCCTACACATTAGAAGTTGTAATGATTCTTAGCAAAACCAAACAATGTTCCTGACATATTTTATATGGGCAGCGTCAGAAATGAACAAAACATGTTTGTGTTTAAAAGTGGATCGTGCTCTGGCTGTAATGCCCAACTCTGGAGGCACATTACAATCACCCGGGGGGCTTTTAAAATATGAATTCTGCTGCACACCACCCGTCTGGGGATGGCAAGTCAACAGACTCAGCATTTTAAAAAAGCTCCCCAGGTAATTACAAAGTTGAGAACTGCTGATCTGTGGATTAGTGGAGCTTGAGAGTTATATGAAACACCTGGCCATCTGACACTGCATTGTAAAAAGTGACGGTAGGGGTCATGGTCACGTTATCAGAAAATAAACCAAAGTTGAAAAATAAAGACCGGCAGGCTAATTACTATGGAGCCAACATTTCCTTAATGTGTCTCCCTACTGCGGCTACAGACTCCCTGGGGTGACTAAACT